AGCAACACCACAGTTCGACCCCGGCAACGATTTTCGGGACGGGAACAATTTTCTTCCCCGTTAGAGAGGATTTTAAAGCTGCGCACAAACGGATTCCATAAGGACACTTGGCTTGCGAGACGATTGATTCATCGAATGCACCGGAGGGAATCAGTTTATTCCATGTGATAATGATTGCCGGATTCAGACGTTCGTCGTTCATCGCCACGCTTTGCTCGTGAATTTCAAGCAGAGATTCAAAAATTTTTACAGCGATCTCCTCCTTCTGGAGATAATTCAACAAGGCCTCTGTTGCTTGCTGGGACTGTGAAAACGCAAAAAATCGGTATCAAGTACAACTGAATCGAAAAACTGCCAGTTTATCTCCACCTCATTCAAATTATCAAGAAAATATAAGTATAGAACAGAACAAATCATTGAAATGATGAGTCCCCGCATGAAGAAACTAATATGTTCTTAGATTCGTCTAGTAATGCGAAACGCGTTTTCCCCACAAGATTACATTGAAAATAATCCCTTCAGCTCCAAAAACTCATAAGACCATGATAAACCATAAATTTTCTGTGCTCATCAGCATGAACAGTGAATTTAAAATTAATTGGCACGAAAGTGAAGTAGAGTAGAGTATTCTAATTCTGAAAAGTTCGAGCTCTTACATTTCTGAATTTCAAAGACTAGAAGCAAAACTGAACGATTCTTCATCATTTTCTTCAAAGGTTTTCATTAATTTCTAAGTTTCAAAGAAAATTTGATTAAAATGTCGGCATATTTTTCACCTGAAATTTGTGTTAATGTGAAATAAGTTCGTCATGAGAGCCACTCGCTTCATCCCAAAAAATTTCGAAATGCGATTTTTTCGTTGTACTGTACAGGCATTTTGTAATACAGGGACCCACTGCTCTGATCAGATCTATCCATATTTGCAGAGCCTCTTATTTCTTCGAATGGCAAATCATCACAATTATTTTTAATATAATTCTTGGCTATGATCTTAAATGGACTAGGGTTTATGGACTTCGAATGACGTTAAGAAAAGAAACCCATGCTTCTTTTCTTAAAAACGCTAAAATCCTTCTGTGTTGGGAAAGATCGATGAGAACGCCAAATAATGTGCGTCTTCCCATACTTTGTGAGCTATCTACTGCTATTTCTAAAAAACGTCTCATCATATCCATGTTCAGGGTTTTGCCCCAACCCGAATACCCCGTTTACCTAAAGTAAGGTTTTTTATCCTTAAATTTATACCCAACGCATCACAGGATGACCTGCACGGGAGGTTCTGCTGGAGGTGTACGCAATCGAATAATTCGGTAGTTTTAACCGAAAAAATTAAAAAATCACTCTAAATTTAATTCCAATGCAACACTGGCTCGAAACTAAATCAACAGCAACTTGAAAACAACAAAATCTTTAAAAATTGCTACAGTCGTTTTTTCCCAGCTGATTTTTATACCGAAGTTTGTCCCACGTCCAGGATGCAGATCACGAGTCCCGAAAGAACACTTCTTCGGAACTGCGGGTAATCTAAGAGCTCAATGAATTCGGGTCGAATTCGATTCAAAACCCAGTCTTGTTCGGCTTCAGCAGGGAACTTCTTCCGCAATTCATCAGCACAGGGCAAGT